CTAAATTGGCTTGGATTTCACTTACTGACAATTCTTTGTGGTGGATCCAGTTGTAGTTTGTAATTTTTTTTCCCCTCGGGTGCTCATATTCATTATTTCTAGGAAGTCCCCTGTGTCCTGAGGTGGCAAAGTGTTCCCAAAGAGATTTTGTTTTTTCTCAGGACACAGAGGCTCAACAGTCTTTTTGAGCTTATTTCTCAGTTTGGGATCAATATTCTGATCAGGTAATTTATATCTAGACCCTGCATCCACATGGCACAGACTTGGGATTTATATTTCTCACAAGAGACTTTTCTATGTTCATGTACCAGACCCCAGACCCATATACCCAATTACATCCCAAACAGTTCCACTTGTGTGTGTCACAGCTTCCTCAAATTCAACTTTCCAAAACTGAGCTCCTCCATAAAGCTTATCCTTCTCCAGCATTCCTTATTTCAGTAAATAGTACCAGGCTGCCACGTATGGTAGTATAAGTAGTTCACTGCACAAGGGACAAAAGGAGGCTGAAATCTAGTTTGCACGCTGCTTACCAAGCAGTGCACCCACAGGACTGTGTCCATCAAGATGGCATCTTTCTCTAAGTGTATAAAGATACCACATGGGCTTGGGGCGCCTGGGTGGCTCAGTCGTTAAGCGTCTGCCTTCGGCTCAGGTCATGATCCCAGGTCACGATCGAGCCCCACATTGGGCCCCCTGCTCGGCGGGAAGCCTGCTTCTCCCTCTCCCACTCCCCCTGCTTGTGTTCCTTCTCTTGCTGTGTCTTTCTCTGTCAAATAAATAAATAAAATCTTTAAAAAAAAAAAAAAAAGAATTCCTCATATCAGTGAGGTCATATGATACATGTCTTTCTCTGTTTGACTTATTTCGCAGCTCTGCATTATAAGAAAGGTCTGCAAGGACACATTTACAAAGTAAAGTAATTTCATTCTTTAAATAAGGGAAATAAAGACTTCAAATGACATCAGAAAACCTTTACAATATCACGCTAAGTGAATAAAACCAAGCCATATAGCATCGTATCAACCACTCCCCCCAAAGAGAAAAAAAGTACAACACGGGAGGAAAAGTGTATTACTTTTATAATCAATAATCAATAAAAAGCTTTAAAACACCCAGGGACGCCTGGGTGGCTCAGTCTGTTAAGCAGTTGCCTTCAGCCCAGGTCATGATCCCAGGGTCCTGGGATGGAGTCCCACATCGGTCTCCTTGCTCAGCGGGGAGCCTGCTTGTCCCTCTGCTTGTGCTCTGTCAAATAAAATCTTTTAAAAAAAAAAAAGCTTTAAAACAGATCTGTAATTTAGCATTAAAAAAGGAAACAGGCCTGCAATGTATTTTGCATACAAACCAATCTAATCTAAGATACATGTACAACACAAGTTATTAAGATTTATAGATTCTATAAGAAAATCTACGAGATAGTACAGATTTAAATCTGCTGAACAGTATTTAAAGCAAGCAATACCAGTTATACTCAGCGAGAAGCATCCTTGGCCCGATCTACGTGGCTAAAAGGCTCAAAATATTTGGTCTCCAAACACCAATGGACAAAAATGAAAAAGTGAATTTTTTTCAACCCTACTCACATTACTTAATCTTAAATAGTGTACAAAAGAGAAAAATGACTGAAACTGGGCAGAAAATTGAGCATCTCCTCTTGGTTTACTGTTCCAGGCCATTCATACCCCCCTTAAGTAACTATTTTGGTCTAGTGACTCGCCAGCTATGCCAACAAGCATCCTCAAGCACGAATCCTCCATCCCAGGATCTGGAACCTCAGAGTCATTACTAGGGAAACTATCACATGCTAGTCATCAAGTCAGGAAGCACTTCCCAGTATGGGGACCAAAAAGGCAGCTGTGAAGACTGAGAAGGTTATTCCAATGCCTGAATTCCAAAAGCTAATAAGCTCTTATACAATTCATATTTTCCTTTTATCCACTTCATCTTGGTTTCTGGGCCATTAGAAATTATATCAATCATGTATCTAACCAAAAGGAAAAAGGAAGGGGAAAATGGAGAAAACCTTGAACAGACAGCAATACTTAATTCC